GGGGGGGGGGGGGGGGGGATGTTTGGTTTTAAAAGTCCCCACCCCCACTTTAAGAACTCCCATTGGAAGTAACGATAGGGCCAAGAAACAAAATCCGGTTGGAGATTCTTTATTTTTATTTCCTTCTCTCTTTTTATTTATAAATCAAAACATCTAATTAAAGGTATTAATATTACCGATTTAAGTCTAATTCAATTAATTAAAATATATGCATATTATTAAAAAAAAATTGCAATAACATGCGGCAAAGCCATTTTTCATTCAGTTCCGAGCCCTGATGACTAAAATGTGTGTTTGAAGCTGGATTCATGAAACCTGATGAAATGACTTCACACACGGCTGTGGAGGGGAAAAAACAGCATATACAGAAAGAAGAGAGGCGTATTTGCAGGATGAAACATGTGGTCCAAGGGGATGATGATTTTCCTGAAGGGGTCTGGGTTTACATTCAATCAGTTACAAAGCCCAGAACACAAACCTTGTATCTCAGAGTTTGACGCATTTGGGAGAATATACGTCCCGGATTTGCCGTTGCTCGAGCACGTCAGATTCAACTGGTTGCCTACCTGATGTGACTGAAAACCAAAGATGGAAATTTGGAAAAAGGTTAGATAAAAGGAGTTGGTATAAACCTAAAATTTCATTTCAGAATCAATTCAATAATCAAAACTAAATATATATTACTTTTATGATTTCTTAGAGTTTGAGTTTTTATCTCATACAAAGATACGTGAATTTCCGCATGTCAACAGAATCGAGCTAGTAAAACCAGTTATTTACTATTTAATTCTCAAATTTCAAAAGCCCCTCAAAGTTTAATTTAGTGGTTTTCTTAATTAAAAAATAAAATTGGTATATATATATATATGTATTAATTAAATACTTTATGAAACCTCTCACTTTATAGCTTAAAATCATATTATTATGTTAAATTAATTTTTTTTGGCAATTATATTTTTATTTTTATTAATGAAAAAAAAAGTCAATTTATAAGTTGTATTCTTAGTTTTTATATAGAACCAATGAACCAACTAATATCAAAATATATAGATTTATATCAATAAATTCAAAAGTATCTTTTTGCAGATTTGTACCAACATAATGTCTTAGACTTGCCCACTGTTATCAATATTTAAAATTATCTTCATATAAATTCAAGCACCTGACATAATTTTGGAATGGCCATGGCTATTTGATAATAATTTATAGTTTTATGTTTTTGAAAGTTAAAACCCACTTGTGATTTCTTTTTTTTTTCCACCTTGCTAAATATACTCGAATTCCTAACTAAAGTTCAAAAATAAAAATAAATCTTGAAAATCTTTGTTTTAGGGCTCTTAAAATCCCGATTAATAACTAGATTATTAAGTAAAGAATCTATGAGAAAACTAGTTTTTTTTTTTTTTTTTTTTTTTTTTTTTTTTTTTTTTTTTTTTTTTTTTTTTTTTTTTTTTNTTTTTTTTTTTTTTTTTTTTTTTTTTTTTTTTTTTTTTTTTAGGGAACAAAATGACTATAAAATAGGCCTTAAATAATTGTTAATTAGGGTGATGTATGAAATGTTTTAGAAAATCCTCTGTTGTAAGGAAAAACCAAGGAGAAATGAGAATGCAGAAGGAAAGATTACCAAACAGTATGTAGGTTCTGAATTACAGCTCCATTTGGAAGTAGGAACGCAAGACAAATAATGGCACCAAGAGCAATGACGGTTTGCATCAAATCCTCGACGAAGTAAAACCAGGCCAACGGTGAACCTGGAAAATAACGTAATAGATCAGTTTCAAAATTACATCATCTTGCCAAAATAGGTCAACAAGATGGGTATAATCTCAATCACTTCACTTCTTTGAAAGAGAGAATCTTTTACTTCTACTATCAATAAGAAACCTGGAAGTAAACATCTACAACCAACATTGAACCTGAAGTTTTATTATACACATTCTAACTTCATCAAACTAATCTTTCTGAAACATGAAGATTTAACTATGCAATGACTTTGGTCTCATTTCATGAGTCCAGTTCTAAGACATTAGAAGGAATTAAGTATTCAGATCATAGAGTAAAGGTGCATTTCCTCTAGTAGACAGCCAATTACTTAACATTTCAGAATTGCAGTGTAGTTACTAGGTAAACAAAATCGACAAACAGCGTGGAGTAAACTAACAACTTTTCCAAGATCATTCCTGCCCTAATTGCGAAAATATGTATCTTTCTGAAGATTATTGTCGTTTTTTTGTAACTAAAGAAGTTCCAAGGGACGATGAAATATTGTTTAACCATCAAAACAAGATTTTATAAGCATATTTTGACATCAAGTTCATGGTTTCTTGAGATATCTTGGGTTAAAAAATAAAAATATAAAAAAAAAAAAAAAAAAAAAAAAAAAAAAGATAATGGTTTCACATGGGCAGTCGAGATTTTACTTCAACATAAAATGGAAGTCCATTAGCAATACTCCCTACCATGCCATTTAGGTGTCAAAAATTTAAATGAGGAAGAATAAATTGTTCTCGCCCATTTCTCTCTTTACTAATATTGCAAAATGAGATTTCCTTGATAGGATAAGAATCATTCATATTTCCGCGATCACCTGAATACCTGTGCTTCTTTTTTCGGCATAATGATATCAATCATGGATTCAAAAGGGANTTCTAAATTTGTATGCTCTCTCAATACAATTGGATAAAGGCAGCACAAATATAGAGTGAATTGCTTACCCGGCAATCAGAAGTATTACCGAAATGATCCATAATACGCATTGATATGTCTTGAATTTATGTTCGACGGGGATGGAAGAATTTGTTATAGAAGTATATCTTCGGCTAACCCATCCAAACTGCGGGCGAATGAGAAATACAAACCCCAGAAGAAATCCAGAAATAAATCCTCCAATATGAGCAAAATTATCAACATGAGGAAGAATTCCTACTGCCAAGTTGATCGCTATAATGACCAACAGAGTAAGAAGAGCTGGTACCTGAAGGGGCAAAGAGACCAGAAAATGCAACCAAAATAAGTGTCAGGATTCACCAGCAAATTTCAATACAAATGCGTCTTGAAGAGTACCTTATTAGAATATATCGTCCAGTTAGTGATGAGTTCAGAAAGCATTCCTCCGAGCAACCCAAACAAGGCACCAGAAGCCCCGACAGAGATGTTTGACTGGATGAACAGAGCAGACAACAGACTCCCACCAAATCCAGATATAACATATAGCAAGCCAATCCGTACTGTAAGACATTCACAAAAGAGTTGATTAAGGGTGGAAGGCCAGTGAATCCACTATATATAAACATAGAATAATCCATGTCTAGGAAAACAACAAACAGAACTCTTAATAAAGTGGCCAACAATCAGAGGTCGCCTCTTAAATTGGCATTTCAGGGAATAATTCTACTATCAACACCAGAAAAGAAAAGGAAAGAATGATCAAAGGCACGTACTAAATCCAAATTCTTGTTCAAGACGAATCCCAATGACTAAGAGACTCAACATATTCGCCAATAAATGAAAAACACCGGCATGTAACCAATTACACGTGACGAGACGCCACAGTTGGTCTCCATGAACCACTTTATTAACTTCTAATGCACCCATACTCCGTAGCCTGAAACACAAGCAATAATTGGTTCAGTGGACAATGCATAGTTCACTTGAACGACGAAAAATTCAAGATGTAATTGACACAAACAGAATTCCGGAAGAAAAAAAATATGAGAATGCAGTGAAACCAACTTACGTTAAAGATGAAGGTCCAAGCAGAGGATTTTCTTTTAGGGGCTGGAAAGAGAATCTACCCAAGAATCGAGCAATACAAGTGACTGAATTCTTAGGGCAATTATTAACATACATGGTGATAATGAACATAATAATATTGGCTATAACAAATGACGGAATTAACCAAGAGATCCATTTCTTGAATTGCTTGACTTCCCTGTAAGCAATTGAACCCGACGCTTGCAACGACTGGGCATCCACCTCTACAGGATGTATTGCAGTACCTTGCCGGGAATTGACCATGATTTGAATATCCGAAGGGTGATGTTCCGCCATTGAAGCTCTTCTCAAATTAGAGAGACAAAGTAGGATGAAACGATGGGATGAACTTGATCAACAACTCGAAAGAAAATAAAAAAACGATGAAAGAAGGAAGAAAAAAAAAAGTATATATATTATATATTAATTAAATAAAAAGTTTACTTAAGAAAGTGAAAATGGTCGACAATGATAGAGGCTTACCGAGTCATAATTTGAAGGTGCAAGAATCAAAGGCCACCTACCATGGCGGCTTGAGATACATGAGAGACGCCCAATTGTTCATAACGAGAGATGGCTCGGGTTACAAGTCTCTCAGGCGAAGGATCTTCTTTCTTTGGTTGCTCAAGTTATCATACAGCAATAGTCCATTTTGCAGGGGCCAATTATCAAATCCCAAAGAGGAAGAAAATTCAGAACCCAATTAACTTCGTTTTTTCGTCTCCTTTTCCAATCAATCAAACAAGAAATGAACTTTTCACATGTTTACAACTACAAGAATAGCTATCATTTCAAACATAAATAAAATTGTCAAAATAATATTAAATATAACATGCCGTCTAATGTTTACATACTGTACTCTTCAATACTTCAATTGCTATTATGCATCTGTAAATTCTTGGCTGTATGATTACTTGCAACAAGGGGACACCTCCGATCAGGCGGTTGCAGTTGAACTAGCAACTCCAGTTTAAGAAATTCAACGATCAGAATCTTCAAATAAATTGGTTGACCTACTCTGAATGAGAAGAATCAAAGTCAATAATACACATAAAACAATTCATTCAAAGATGGTTGTTATTTGTTTCATAAAATAATAAACAATAAAATGATAAACTAGTGCTAGAAGGGTCTACTGAAGATGGTTATTATTTGTTCAAACTTGGCTGAATAAATCAATTCCCAATACAAAAGATGTCATCTAAACTAGATGAGTTGAAACAAAACAAAGAGTCTGGATCCGAGACTGGGCTTCGGCAATCAGGGTTTTATGATTTCAATGGTCCAAAGTCCAATCGGCCTGTGGAAAACTATAAATCTGTTTGCTTAAGCTGAATTAGCGTTTTTTATTTTGAATGATTCTATGATCATTGTTGTTTTTAATTGGACATTCTCTAAGAAGGCTACTACTTGGGCATTTTGGGCGGCAACTCAGAGAGCATTCTTGACTCTGTTATCCAACATGATAAGCGAATAAGCAGCCAATAAAATGTTTATATCACTCACCTCAACTTTTGCTAATTCTGTATATACTTCCTCTACTTTAAACGGATGCATGAGGTGAGGCCCCCATGTCCCACCGACCTTCGAAAAAGTCAGGTCGTCAAACACCCATCCTTCCTGACTTTTCACAGAGGCCCTTTACAATATATGCTTTGTTAACTCTCTTTGGATACTAAAAAGAGCACCTGCAAATCTTCCCAATGCTCATGACAATAGAGCAATGGATTGCGTTTGATGAACCAGTCATGACTCCTTCCTCACCTTTTGCAGCGATAGCTACCGTCCACTCTTGTGCGCTGGACTGCTTGCCATTTTCATCAGCTGCTTCATCGGCATCATCTTGGAGATATCTTTCCCCGGTGCCTGACATCATGTCATGAACTCAGGTTGGATGAATATAAACTGAAACCAACGCAAACATGCCAAGTGAGCCATTACAGTACAAACTGTCAATTGTCTCCGTTCCGTTTCCATTGACTGAAACTATCCGTCTACAAGTTTTGCCTAGAAATGACAGCATGTAAACTTCATAGATAAACACTAGCATTTTCTATCCTAAGAGAACCATTCGCATTTGAAACCGAATTCAAACTCTCACCAATCTGGCCCAAAGAAACTTAAAAAATAACAGAAAGTTTTACTTTCTCATACTGCGGTTCGTAGCAATTCAAGATTAAGGTACAGAAGCAACGTTCAGATTCAGGCCTCCGTGCATCAACAATTTGACAATCCTTGTTGAGTGCCAAACTAACAACTATAAAATGCATGGTTGCAAGCTATCAAGCGTTTGTCGTGCAGAAAAATCTGCAAGTAACCTACAAGAACACATAGATAAATCCTAATCTTCTGGACTACAAAAATACCAAGAGAATCAAGCTACTAGAGCAAGAGCCATGCAAAACGCCAAACTCTTTTGAAGGAAAAGTGAGTATAGTACAAAGAGAATGAAAAATTTTACGAATACAAAAGTGGGAAGAGAGCCGGAAACATCACATTCATCGTTTGCACAAGATCATCAGGCTTCAGCAACAACTTCTAGACTAAAGTTCTAGTTTCGACTTAATAAACATAGTAAGAAATATTGCTTCACAAAGCGAATTAGGAAGCTCTATATCTTCGTCTCTCCAGTTTACCTCAAAGTCAAACAAGCTGAGAGTAAACTAGCCTTGCTCGACGCTGCAGACACTATCATTTGTATTTGAACAAAATAAACCAGGCAATCTCACTGATGCAACTACTAGAACAATCAAGCAAACCGAGAGTAAACTAGTTTTAATCGATGCCGCAGATACTTGTGAATTGACAATTGAACAAGAAATCAAACAATCATCGACGCAACCACTACAAACTGAAAATAGTTCGCTTCCAGGAAATAATAAGAAAGAATGGAGCAGCAGCGATAAGGAAAGAAGCGTCGCACCTTATAGACGATGGCAACTAGGGCTCCGCTACAGAGAACGAAGATAAGAGTAGTTGTTCTTGATCGACGGTCGAAGATGACGATTGAGATCAGAATAAGCCTCGGTTTGATTCAATTCTCTCCAAGTCCTTGTCCCGTTTCTCCGAACCGCGCGGAACAGGAGGGAAAGATTGCAAATATTTTTATTTATTAAAAATATAAGTGGCGCGCAACTTAGCTTATTTCATGCATCGAACCGAATGTTTACGCGAGTCACCGCCGCGGGAAGGTTTAAAAAATAATCGAACCCGGTTCGCACCTATCCCCCAATTGCGGGAAATTTTAAAAAATAATCGAATCCGGTTCGCACCAATCCCCCAAATGCGGGAAAGTTCAACCAGGTCAAACCTACGATGGACGTGCACTTCACTAGAGACTTCTTCATCTTTCCTCCTTTTTTTCCCGGTATTCTCTCTCTCCGCCGTACAAGTCCGATCTGTTCCACGTGCCAACACGTGCGTGACTTGTGGTCCCTATCCACGTCCACACGCACTTTTAAGCCAGGGGTATTTTAGTAAACCTGCATGCTTAAAGCAATTAGAGCTGACTTAATTGGACACGTTGCGCTCTGTGAATGGAGGAGACTCGAAAAGGCGAGTAGGTTTCATATGTTTATTAAGAAAATAGGGGGATTATTGGTAGTTTTTGATTCGGGCAACTGGCTGAGCCAGTGCGATTGGAATCAACGGCTGGGATTCGTCTTCAACCTCCGACTTCTTTTTAGAAACTTTTGTAGCTTCAGGCGAACCAGCTATCACTGCTAATTTTATTTACAGAGACAAAAAGTTTTGAGTCGAAATTCAATTTCCCCATCGTTCTCTTGGCTTCTACATCCTTCTCTGTAATCCAGGGTTTCTGTGAGGTACGCATTTCCATATAGTTTTTGCTTCAATGAAAGCAAAGCATATTAAGTATCTCTACGGTTTCTGTGATCGTTCTCCTCCTGCGCATGTTTGAATTCATTTTGACTATTGACGTCTTCATTTGAATAATAGATCAATTTAGTTTCTATTATCGCTACCTGATTGTGCTCGAGCTCTTTTAATGACTAGGTGTAAAGCATTCACTAGGAGTTAGTCTTAGTTATTTATCAGGCAAGCTAGATTCTGGGATGCTGTAACTCAAATTCTGTGGATGTCATCAACGACCTGGTAGAGTTTGAACATTTGAAATTTGGATTGCTGAGAGTTCTTTTTTTTTCTTGTGTGTGTGTGGGGGGAGGGGGGG